GGGAGCACAATAGAGAAAACAAACGAATTTTTAAAAAGATTTATAAGGTTCTTAGACCATTATAACACAAATTCGTCATTCGAAATGCGAAGTACCAATTGTAACAGAGAACCTATTGCTACAACCGGATGGAACATAGAAATTAGTAATCAATTGTGGCCCTTATGTTCTCTACTATTGGAACATGGAAGACTGATTTACAAAGAATTGTTATTACCAATTCAGACTGTATGTCAAATTTACTTTTTTGTTTGCATCACCTATCTTTAAATGAAAAGAATATTGTAAAATGCATCTTTTGTAACAGAAGAATGCATTTAAAATGTTTGAAAATACAAACCAACAACGTGGATCTACTTTATGATATCTGTAACTTATGCGCTCAATACGAATAATTTTACGATGTATTACAATTTACATATAAGGTTGAATTTTACCGTTTTGTTATTTAAATATATCGAATAAATGCTGATTATTACTGTGTATTATTATTATCAATTATTATCATCCATCATTACCATTATAATAATTACATAGCCACACAAAAAAGAAAAGTTGTCTGTACTTTTCATGCGACATATGTTATCTGTAGTATTTTTGCCTCCTGATCACGAATCAGGTGTCAGAATTGGGCTATCACATCACAGGAATTTCCTAACCTCAAAAAGCAGGTAAAAAATAGCAAAAATTCATGAAAAATGACTAGGAAAACTCAATTTTTTTTATATTCAAATGTTCATTTATATAGTTAAGACCCTGTCCAACGTGAATCCGCGGCCAGAATTAATGGTTCTTTTTCTAACCTCAAAGAAAAACGGGTCAATTAAGGTCAGATATCACGAAACAATAACAGATTCGCTCCAAATTTGATATACGGGGGTTTTCGGGGTCCCTGTCATTCAATTCAAGATGGCGGATCCAAGATGGATGACCAAATTTTCAAAAAATAACAGATTCGCATCAAATTTGGTATAAAGGGGTTTTCGGGGTCGCTGATCACGAATTCGAGGTCAATTTTGCAAAATTTAAGATGGCGGCTGACCAAATTTTCAAAAAATAGCGCATTCGCGCCAAATTTGATGTAAGGAGTTTTTGAGGTCACTGATCACGACTCCGAGATCAGATTTACAAAATTCAACCCGTGAATAGATCTTTTACAGAAAATATAACAAGATATAGCCGAAAAAAAGTAGATTAACACATGATTTGGTACTCAGGTTATAAAGTATAATATTACAAAATGAATTTCGCAATTTTGACCTCGAATACGTAGTCAGCTACCCCGAAAACCCCTGTATACTAAATTTTGGCCATTTTGGATCCGTCATCTTGAATTTTGCAAAATTGACCTAGAATCCGTAGTCAGCGACCCCGAAAACCTCCGTATACCAAATTTGCTGCGATTCTGTTATTTTTTGAAAATTTGGTCGACCATCTTACATCCGCCATCTTGAATTTTGCAAAATTGACCTCGGATCCGTGATCAGCGACCCAGACCCCCGTATACCAAATTTGAAGCGAATCTGTTTGAAAATTCGTGATATCTGACCTTAATTGACCCGTTTTTTTGAGGTTAGAAAAAGAACCATTAATTCTGACCGCGGATTCACGTTGGGCGGGGTCTTAACTATATAAATGAACATTTGAATATAGAAAAAAAATTGTATTTTTCCTAGCACTTTTTCATGAATTTTTGCTATTTATTATCTGATTTTTGAGGTTAGGAAATTCCTGTGATGTGATAGCTCAATTCTGACACCGGATTCATGATCAGGAGGCAAAAATACTACAGATTACATATGTCGCATAAAAAGTACAGACAACGTTTCTTTTTTGTGTGGCTGTGTTATTATTACACTATTTCATTATCACTATCACCATCGCTATGGCTATCAGTGATAGTCTACGTCATTCAAAATATTGGAAGGTATATACCAACTTCTCGGACTTACTTCACAATATGTATAACATACTCGACCAATATGAATACAGAATTCTTGAATAATATTTTTAATTTTCACGTAGGCGATATAGCTTGTTAATTACTAGGAAACGGAATAGGAAAACATCATATCAACAACATCAAAGTACAAAGTTTATTAACATTAATATTTGATATATGTATAACAATAAAGAATTTTAAATTAATAACAAAAATCATTTACAACCGTCTTTAAAAACGAAAGTACAATTTGAGAAGGAACCTTTAACAATAACACCAGACGAACTACCTAAATTTTCTTTGCCATCGAATAAATGTTGCATTTTCCCTGATAACACAGGTCAACATTTGATCTAAGCGGGAACACCGTAATCGGTATAGGCTACTAGGGGTTTTTGGGGTCGCTGATTACGATGAGAGGGTCAGTTAACCTCTATCACGTCAGGTTCAAGGTTATTTGAAGGTCAAATGCAGAAAAAGCCATGAAAAAATTTGTACATTTTAGCATCTGCGTAGCTGAGATATTTTGCAATCCTGGACGGTATGCGTCCTTTCCGATATATCAGAAAAATATATACTGTCCATACAATTGGTGAGCCCGCATTTCGTTTTCTTCCACAATAGTAAAATATTTTGGTACTACAGTTTTTGTATCGTTAATTTTTTACTACAACAACGATTCCTTTGTCATCTATATCATTTATCGAGAGCTTTATCAACTCATCTCTTCTTAATCCTCCAATACAATAATAAAAACCTATTAAGCACATGCAATAATATAGCCAATTATTTCCTATATTATCTTTTCCAAAAGATATGTATGAGTATGCTTCTCTAATAAATTTCAAAATATCCTTCCTTGTCAATATCTTAGATTTTTTTTTGGAATATTTCGATATTTGCTTCAACTAAGCCTCTAATTGATGACATTCTCCTATATTTACTTTTGCTAGAAACATGTTGTCTGCGGGCATAATAATCATCTCTGTATCTCCCTTGGTGCATAAATAACTATTCTGATGTATAACAATTTACTGAATTTTCGACAACCGTTTTGGTAAAGCCTTACTCTATTTTATGCACCAAGTCGATTTTCAAAACCTGGGTCTAATTTGTGACTATTTAATTTAATATTTAAGTGACGTTTGTAACCCTCCATGGTAGAGCCCTGTTCTATTTTATACACCATGTCGCCTGTTTGATTCTAGGTCCGTTTAGTGGTATATGAATATATATAAGTAAAATATTCAATTTGATGTTCCGAAAAGAGTAAAGGCTTAAAGTATCATTTGTTGTTTTTGTGGGGAACGAACATATGTTTATATGAACTTGTTTTATCCCTTTAAGGAGATGACTCGTGGAGATAATAAAATTTTTACCAAATAAGAACCTATAAAAAGTAATATAATAATAATAAAATTGCGAGCTTTAATGCTTCCCTAATATCTTTAAGCAGAGTTGAAAGTATTTACCGACATGTAGGGGAAAACTAAGCTGGAATGTCACCGAATGATAAGAATATGAGCAGTTGTCTGGCGAGTTATCTGATTATGCATATCATAGTTGTTAGGTAAATATTACAATTTTTTATAAAGGCTAAGGCAAGAATATTGTAAATTTTGAAGACTGTCTAATATCGCACGTCAAAAAATTACGTCACAATAAGATACTATTGATAATACTATGCTATCAGTTAACTGTATGTGTTAACCTGACTTCCCTAGACAAAACGTCCCTATTATATTTTTAATTTTTAAAATGCTTTCGAATTAAAGTGATTGCATGTGACCTAAATTTAAGGACTACATCCATAATAAGATTTTGATAATCATTAAGAGGAAAGTAACTGAATTAATTATCTTAATAANCTTCATATTTAGAAATTAATTTCTCACGAATTATTTACCTATCCCAATTAATTTTTGCTTTACTTTCTTCATTTATACTTTGCCAAATGTGATATGAAATTTTACTACTTTCTTCCATTGCTTTAAAAATATATATTGGAATATAAAAAGGGCTGTTTTCTACCATTTTTCGGTATAATTTAGGCAACCAGAAATGCATCAGTTTCCATCCTTAAAGTATCATTTGTTGTTTTTGTGGAGAACGAACATATGTTTATATGAACTTGTTTTATCCCTTTAAGGAGATGACTCGATTCTATAGGTACTTGTAAAAAGGATCCTCCTAATTTCTGCTTCTGAATGAACTCGTGGAGATAATAAAACTTTTACCAAATAGGAACCTATAAAAAGTAATATAATAATAATAAAATTGCGAGCTTTAATGCTTCCCTAATATATTTAAGCAGAGTTGAAAGTATTTACCGACATGTAGGGGAAAACTAAGCTGGAATGTCACCGAATGATAAGGAATATGAGCAGTTGTCTGGCGAGTTATCTGATTATGCATATCATAGTTGTTAGGTAAATATTACAATTTTTTATAAAGGCTAAGGCAAGAATATTGTAAATTTTGAAGACTGTCTAATATCGCACGTCAAAAAATTACGTCACAATAAGATACTATTGATAATACTATGCTATCAGTTAACTGTATGTGTTAACCTGACTTCCCTAGACAAAACGTCCCTATTATATTTTTAATTTTTAAAATGCTTTCGAATTAAAGTGATTGCATGTGACCTAAATTTAAGGACTACATCCATAATAAGATTTTGATAATCATTAAGAGGAAAGTAACTGAATTAATTATCTTAATAATGTCAGTAATGTCAATTGTTCTTCTAACAGGTGTTCCAAATGTTTAGGACTATTATTAATTTCGCATAGAAAATTTATTTTTCATTTCTTTTTGATTTTTTTAATAATTTTTGCCTATTCATAGGTAATTATTAAAAAATTTTACTTAAATTTTAACATATTCATTTAATTTAAAATTTATACTTAAACAATAATTGAAAATTGAATATCATTTTATTTTGAAAATGAGTCGAATATTGTTTGAAGTCAACCACAGTTAGAATTTTGAATTGCAGTAAAATTTTAATTATGGTGAATATGTACGGATGTTTTATAGAAGAATAAGAAACAACTCCATTTATCAATATATTGTATATGGGAAGTTACTACAGAGAACATGAATGTTTCATTATTATGTATCTAAGAAAGTTTTTGAATTATTCAATTAAATTTATTGGAAAAATATATATGTTCCTCGTACATCATATGACAAAGAGAGATAATCTTTAAAAGATAATCTGATTGTTAAGTTGTTCGATCAAACTGTTCATGTATTCGAAGCAGGCGTTGCATGGATTTTCTTGAACTTCTTCATCTTCTACTTCTGGTACTTCTGGAAGTTCTGGTACTACTGGGAAGGATGGTTGATTGCCAATGCCGCCATCTTCATCTTCTACTTCTGGTACTTCTGGAAGTTCTGGTACTACTGGGAAGGATGGTTGATTGCCAATGCTGCCATCTTCTTCATCTTCTACTTCTGGTACTTCTGGGAAGGATGGTTGATTGCCGATGTCGCCATCTTCATCTTCTACTTCTGGTACTTCGGGGAAAGATGGTTGATTACCGATGTCACCGTCTTCGTCTTCTACTTCTGGTACTTCGGGGAAGGATGGTTGATTACCGATGTCGCCGTCTTCATCTTCAACTTCTGGTACTTCTGGGAATGATGGTTGGTTGCCAATGTCACCATCTTCATCTTCTACTTCTGGTACTTCTGGGAAGGAAGGTTGATTGCCAATATCACTATCTTCATCTTCTACTTCTGGTACTTCTGGGAAGGATGGTTGGTTGCCAATGTCACTATCTTCATCTTCTACTTCTGGGACTTCTGGGAAGGATGGTTGGTTGCCAATGTCACTATCTTCATCTTCTACTTCTGGGACTTCTGGGAAGGATGGTTGGTTTCCAATATCTCCGTCTTCATCTTCTACTTCTGGTACTTCTGGGAAAGATGGTTGGTTTCCAATGTCTCCGTCTTCATCTTCTACTTCAGGCACTTCTGGGAAGGAAGGCTGATTGCCAATGTCGCTATCTTCGTCTTCTACTTCTGGTACCTCTGGGAAGGAAGGTTGGTTTCCAATATCAGCATCTTCGTCTTCTACTTCTGGTATTTCTGGGAAGGATGGTTGATTTCCGATGGATGGAGTTTCGTCTTCCAAAACACCCGGTAAAACTGAGAAAACAGGTTCCTCTCCTTCATCTTGCGATGCAGCAATTCTGAAGGCAGGAATGCCTAAAAAGTTAAATAAATATTAGGTGTTGTTCTATATACATATATAATGTATAAATTATTTAACAAGTATACACAAGTAATAATTATCAATACTATTTCTATATTGATTGAAATATAAGAAATAGAACTTACTTGGCGCTAAAGCCAAAGCTATAACTAGAATAATGAGTTTAGCCATGTTCTCCCTTTAATGAATCGGAGTACACTGAAGAATTGTTTTAACGATTTGCTTTTTATACATAGATCAAATAATAAAAAATCAACTACGTTTCACATTGCGATATATGAGCTCAATCAAGATTGGTCAAAACTATAAGCTAGGGATAGGTTCAGGAATTTATAGCACTAATAATACAATTTATTTACTGCTGTTTTATCAGTTCTAGAAACTGCCTAATAAGTATCTTAAATAAAAAGAAATACTTATTTATGAATCAAAATAATTTATATTATAGTAAATTAAGATTACTTTGAAAATAAATTGAAATCAAATAATGAAATATCACATTTTGCAATATGTTAAAGTATGTTTAATAAATATAAAAAATATATTGTTTATGAATAATATTAAACAAATTTAACACAAAATTAAAAAGTCTGTTCAAAGAAAAAATCGGAATACCTTTACTAAAAAGAAACTTGAATAAAAAAAATCTCAGTATATTTACAAAATCTATATGTAATGAAAAATTCTTGATGGAAGTAGATATTCAGATAGTTTTCAGCATACATGTAATATACCTAATTAAACTCATATATTGGTAAGCAATTTTGAAATAAATCTAAAAATTTTCGGTACTGTAANTGGAAGTAGATATTCAGATAGTTTTCAGCATACATTTAATATACCTAATTAAACTCATATATTGGTAAGCAATTTTGAAATAAATCTAAAAATTTTCGGTACTGTAATATTTAAGAAGAATTAATAAACAAACTGTAAAGGCATTTTTATACCATTAATTGATTTACATTTTAATTTTATGAGATCTTTAAAATTTTCCCATTTAACACGTTTATTTGGTTAATTATTTGCGGAGAATAGATTTCTTTGATTTAAACGATTTTGAAGAATGAAATCAAAGAATGATTTATAGAATTGTTTCTACCAGAAAAAGAAATGATTTTAGTTGTCTACGTTTCACTCAATTTTTCCTGATTTTAAATAAAACTAATGTTGCCTAGTTAAATAAATTACATTAAACTAAAAAAATTGTAAACAAATATATTTCTGTTACGTGTTAAGTTAACCAAGCAACAAATCTATTATCTGCACCATGTCGTCTCTCTTGATTATTTTAACCTTATTTGGCATTTAATTTTTATAGTGTGAAAACATGTTCTAAATTATTAATGTACGGGGAGATCCATAATTTATTTTTTTTGCAGTTTACTCATTTGCTCTTAAAATATTTAAACGGGACAAAATGCATATTTAGAAAAACAATTGAGCATCGATTTAAAAAGGTGCGGACGAAGAAACCATTTTTTTGATGAAAGGGAACCTTTATTTTTTTAAACATTTCAGAGGTTCATTCATTTATTCAACTTTTAGGTCCCCCGAAGTTAATTTCACCAGTACTTATTTTTTATTAACGTCATATATTTACATGTATTAGATAGTAGGTATTGTAATTTATTTACAAATCTAAAAATATACATGTTATATTTTTTTGATATTTCACAAACCAAATTATCAACAAATTAAAAAAATCATGTTTAAAGTACGATCCGTTTCGTAAATTTGGAGAGCGTGCCATGAAACAATTGTTAATTGTAAGATGCATCCACTAACATCAAATATTTATGATAAAAATTACATCTCCAATGTCTTCTATGAGTTAAGTTAGTAGTCGTTTTTTCTTTACATAAAAATTGGTTTAGTTTTCCAAACCTTTCCAAAATTTTCGTCTATATACCGGGTGTTTCATGAAGTTCTCCCAGCACTAATAGATGATGTTCCTTGGGTTATTTCTAGAAAAAAAGTTTATATAAACATGTGCCCGATTTGCTTTACTTTTTGAGCTACATGAATTTGACATTTAAATGTAAAAAGTAATAATCAAATTTGTTGCATTACGTCTCGGCGCGCTACGCATTGGTCAAGTGTGCTCTGACGACATTTGCAAGGTAAAATGTTATCTAGGTTACTGTCAGTTTTGACAAGCTTGCAGTTTAGTGTGAAGATTCAATTTTGCAAATTCGCGAACAATGCCTTTTAAGTTTACGACTGCTGAGTATGCCGATATGGTGTTTGTTTTGGGTAATTGCGATGGAAATGCTACTCTAGCTTCACTGGAATATCAACGGCGTTTCCCAAATCGTCGCATTCCATCCCCGAAAACGTTTACCACAACTTTTCATGCACTCAGAGAAACTGGTTCACTTCCAAGTGTTCGCATTCACTACGAACGGGTAAGTCAGCAGAGTGTTGTAGAAGAAGAGAATATCCTTGCTATGGCCGAGCGTAATCCCGGTGTTAGTACACGACGGATATCCACGCCTTTAGTGATTCCCAATACCAGGGTATGGAGAACATTAAACAAGAATCTGTTGTATCCATACCATCTACAGCGTGTTCAACATCTGGAGCCAGAAGATTTCCCTAGGCGGGTAGAATTTTGTCAGTGGTTGAATAATAATAGGAATTTGTATCGCTACATCTTATTTACGGATGAGTCACAATTTACCAGAGACGGTATCAACAACACCCATAACATGCATCAATGGTCGGACGTCAACCCTCATGCCACCGTAGAAAGTAATTTTCAACGTAGATTTAGCGTTAATGTGTGGTGTGGAATGTTNCTATACTGTACTGTACATAAGATCTATCGGCTTTAAATAGGAATAAATTATATGTATCAGCATTTCTGGAATAAGATGATGCGACAGGAATGCTGATGTTACATTATATGTTATATTAGATATGTCTTTATACTGAAAAATAAAAATAGACGTTATACAGGGTCCTTATATTACATATGGAGAACATTAAACAAGAATCTGTTGTATCCATACCATCTACAGCTAGTTCAACATCTGGAGCCAGAAGATTTCCCTAGGCGGGTAGAATTTTGTCAGTGGTTGAATAATAATAGGAATTTGTATCTCTACATCTTATTTATGGATGAGTCACAATTTACCAGAGACGGTAACAACAACATCCATAACATGCATCAATGGTCGGACGTCAACTCTCATGCCACCGTAGAAAGTAATTTTCAACGTAGATTTAGCGTTAATGTGTGATGTGGAATGTTATACGATCAATTTATAGGGCCATTTATTATCGAAGGTCGTCTTAATGGACCAAAGTATCTACAATTTTTAGAGGATGAACTCCCGCGATTGCTTGAAGATGTACCTCTGGCAAGACGATTAAGAATGTAGGTACTTGCAATATTATGGAGCTCCACCTCATATTTCCCGAATTGTCACTGCTCACCTAAATGAGCATTACCCTCTATTAGTGCCGGAAGAACTTCATGAAACACCCGGTATTTTATCGAATATTTAAGCTATAAACAACAAAACTATGACATTATATCATCACTTGATTCATAACACAGCCCCACAAAAAAAAAGTGGCAGGTTCGAAAGGCAAGACCATGATATCTATACGTTTTTGCGGTCGCTGAATCCGAATCCGGTGTCCGTTTGACGCGATTAGGTCTGGTTTAAGGTCAGTTCAAGGTCAAATGTAAAGCCATTTATGTTGTTCGTATTTGATCCTATGTAAGATTATCCTCAAAATATGGCACTCTTGTTTCAATGTACGTTAGGTTTATAACATCCACGTTTGAAGTGATTTATCCAACAATATCATTGTAGTAACCCAAGGAAAATTCTTCATCGTTAGAAAAATATTCCTTATTTCTTTGCTCATAGTAAAAAAGCTTTCACTTTTCCGGCTTGCTTAGTATTTTTTTTGTCATCATATTACGAACTCTGCTCCATTCTCTGCCAGGGCCAAATCCCGAACATCATTTACTTTTTTTTGTGATATTGTTCCTGTCTTTTTCACAACGTGATATGGAATATATTCGTCATCACTAGTATCATTAGCAATATCAGTGATAGTTTCATTGCCACCCAAATTTCTCCCTTCTTTAATATCTTGGTGAAACCTTTTTCTCTGCTCAAACCCAATCATATTTTTCACTTAGGTTTAAAACCAAAATATTTATATAAGTATCTTTCGTATGTTGATTGATCTATTTCTATTAGAAAGTATTTAATAGACTTGATTGCTTCAAACTGACATCAGATTCGGATTCAACGACCCGCCCAAAACGTATAGATATTAAGTTTACTTTGTTTTCAATTGATTCTCCACATTTAACCTTGAACTGACCTCATCCCAGATCTGATTGAGTCAAACGGACATCAGATTCGGATTCGGCGATCCCAAAAACTTATAGATATGTAGATTTACTTTGTTGGCAATTGATTCTGTACATTTGACCTTGAACTGAAGTTAAACCAGATCTGATCGAGTCAAACGGACACCGGATTCGGATTCGGCGACTGCAAAAACGTGTAGATACGTAGGTTTAGTTTGTTGACTATTGATTTTCTACATTTGACCTTGAATCAGAGCTAATCGCGTCAAACGGACATCGGATTCGGATTCGGCGACCCCAAAAACGCATAGATACATAGGTTTAGTTTGTTGACAATTGATTTTAATACATTTGACCTTGAACTGATCTTAAACCAGAGCTAATCGCGTCAAACGGACACCGAATTCGGATTCGTCAACTCCAAAAACGATACATAGGTTGAAAAATAGATACATAGGTTTAGGTTATTGACAATTGATTTTTTACATTTGACCTTGAACTGACCTTAAACCAGAGCTAATCGTGTCAAACGGACACCGGATTCGGATTCAGCGACCTCAAAACCATATGGATACCATGGTCTTGTTTTTCGGACCTGCCACTTTTTTTTTGTGGGGCTGTTAATTAAATTCTTATTTTCGGCAATATCTTTCTAAATTTATATTTAATTGTTTTCTAGTTGCACATTCAAATTTCACGGGGCTTTGTACAGATATTTACATTTTGTCAGATCAAATATCTTAACAACAAATTAAAAGTAAAAAGAGAATTATGAATCACCCTAACGACTGTGCTTCCGTAATAATATTGGATGATTTCTTCACAACTAACGACTTGACGGATCTACCACATAAATCAATGAAAATTTAGGCCAACGTATAAATATTTTTTAGGTTAAC